GGTTCCAAGACAGGATGTCTGTTTGCCCTGACCTGACTATAGGGACAAATGCCAGATGGGAGGCCAGAAAGGCAGTCTCCTCCCAGGGCTGTTGTGCTCAAGTGTCAATAAACCATGAGTCTGAAACCTGTGTTGAGTCCTGAATTCTGCCTTCTCTCACCTCTGGATTCCTGGTTCCCCTGGGTGTCCAGGGTGTTTGGAAGCTCCTGGGGTGAATGGGGACCATCTACAAATCTCCTTGGAAGGGGGGCAGTTGAATTCTGGAGGGAGCCCTGCCTCTCCAGCTAGCTATCCTGCCCAGCCTGGTTCACATCCCTGGGCCGTCAGCAGCAGGAAGTCACATTCACTGTGGGCATGGGCAGGGGTGGCAGGAGAGAGGCAAGGCCTCTGGGGAGCCCGCAGGAGTCCTTGGTGTCCCTGGGCACTGAGGATGGAGACCCTGCCTGCACAACACTCACCCGGGAGAGAGCAGGTCCGGGGCCCAATGGGAAGTTCTTCCTTGAGCTCCTGGCTGAATTCAGACCCCTAGGGAACTTGGACAGCATCCAAAATACTCCACACAGAAGCCGCCGAGCCAGGGCCCCGGATGCTGCCTGAACTTCTCCCCCAAACATAGGGTGGGGTGGCTTGGGCTTTCAGGTTGGTTGGGGCCAGCTAGCCGGGGGTTGCTGTGTCGCTCCCTCCCTCTCCTTGCCCGTGGGACCCTCTTGCCCACTTTCAGGTCTGGTTGGCCTCATTTCTCATAGTCCTTCCCAAATCACTCCTGAGGGCTTTTAGCACCCCCTCCTGCTCCAGGCAGCCTGGGCATCAGTCTCCCACCCTCCAGGCCACACTGCGAGGGAGGCAGCATGATCTCTCCATCCTATCATTTGGGGTGGGGGGGAGGCTGGGGCTTCCAACTAGACGTGCTCCTCCCCCAACCCCACCTACTCACCCATCTGCCTTCTGCCTCCCTCGCCCCCTCTGCCTCCAAAGCTCCTGCAGAATCTGCCAGGCAGATCCTTGGTCTTAAGTATATGCTGTCTTGATTGTTCCCTAGTGAGTCGCCTCATGTGTCTGAACCTCATCACTAGAGCCAGATGGTGGTTCCGCACCCCCACCTCCACCACCGCCACAGAGCTTGGAGCCCAGAAGAGCATTCTCTCTGAAGCCACTGGATGGGGGCGGGGGAAGCCTGAAGGACTGGGCACATTGTGCAAGCAGGGACTGAGTGACCCCTGGGGGCCAGAACATCAGCCGGGTTCTCTGCCAGCAAGGAGGCAAGTCTGCACCAGAGGTCAAGACTGGACTGGGGTCTGCCAGGCACAGCACAGGGGACCCTAGGGGTGCCACTGCCCACCACAGGCAGGCCCCTTCTTAGGCCACTGTCTTAGTCACCCTGGCTACGGCAGGGGAGACCTCCTCCTCCTCTTTTACCTCCTTCCTCTTCTCCTCTTCCCTGCCCCCTACCTCCTTCCTTAAATTATAAAAGCAATACGACAACATGACAAAACTTGGAAAAGAGAGAAAATGAAGATTTGGTTTTGAGTATGGAACAAAATAACAAAATAAGCAAGGTAAGTGTTTAGCAATATAGTTTAAAAATAAAACTTGAAATGAAAGGCACCTTTTGCCCAGAGCAACTAAAACAATGTATAGTCGGTGGAGAGGAGACAGATTAAATATAAGAGCTATGTATTTTAGAGTCAGAACTGTATGGATGTGTTTCATTGGCTGCAGTTTGGTACATTTAATGTCTGTGGCATCATGTTTGAGAATCGAAGCCTCACTTCACGAAGCTGGTTCTCAGCGGCCTCTCCTCGCCTTCAGGCTCAGCCAAGCTGACAGGCGCAGGCTGCCCACTCCTGCCTCATGCCATCCATTTCTGATCCCCACAGTATAGCACACCTGGGCTGGGTCTTCCATTTTTAAAATATGAAGTATTTGACATAAATACATTGAGCATCAATGTCAGAGATCAGATATGAAGCATAATAATTACAGACCCACCAGCCAACTCAAAACATCGTCTTGCCTACAGTGTTCGCCTTTGAGAGCCCACCATCTGCATCATTTTTAGAGATGACTTCTTTATAGATTTACCACATATGTATATCTCCCTATACATTTTGCTTGTCTTTTTTAAAATTTTATTTTGTATTGGTTTCAGGTGTATGCATAGTGGTTAGACAATCATATACCTTGGTATTCCCAGGATCCGAACTGATGCCATACATAGTTATTGCAGTATTATTGACTATATTCCCTGTGCTTTACCTAATTCCCATGACTGTTCTGTAACTACCAATTTGTACTTCTTAATCCCTTCACTCTTTCACCCCGTCCTCCAAACCCTCCTCCCCTCTGGCAACCACCAGTTTGCTCTCTATGAGTCTATTGCAATTTTGTTCGTTTTGTTGTTTACATTCCACAATATAAGTGAAATCATATGGTATTTTTCTTTCTCTGACTGACTTATTTCACTTAGCATAATACCCTGTAGGTCCATCATGCTGTTACAAATGGTAAGATTTCATTCTTTTTTATGGCCAAGTAATATTCCATTGTATATATGTACCACCACTTTTTTTATCTACTTGTCTATTGATAGGCACTGGGTTGCTTCTGTATCTTGGCTATTGTAAATAATGCTCATTTTGCTTATCTTTTTATGAAAAATAGGAAAATAATGAAAATAAAAAACATGAAAAGACTTTAAAAAAATTTTGCTGTATGTGTTCTATATCATGTTTTTCATCACTCAGTGTTCTGTTTCTCAGATTCATCTGTGCTGTGTGGGTTTCTGGCTTTTTGCAGAAACAGAGCTGCTATGAACATTTTCAACAGGTCTCTCAACACCCATATACAAGAATTTCTTGGGCACACCAAGGAGTGAAACTGCTGGGACAGACTGGCCATGGAATTTACAAGGCCAAGTGCAAATCAAAACACGGGCCCCTTGCCCGGCCACCATGGCTCAGTGGTTGAGCATCGACCCAGGAACCAGGAGGTCACGGTTCAATTCCCAGTCAGGGCACAGGAGGGGGCGTGCAGGAGGCAGCCGATCAATGATTCTCTCATCATTGATGTTTCTACCCTCTCTCCC